AATCACTTAACGCAATATGACTAAAACAAAAGTTGAAATATAAAAATTATCATAATCTGATTAATATTCAATACAACAGTAATATTTTGCATGTAGTTATCCTAATATGACCAAATGAAAGAGCATTTTTTTGCGATTATGCCTATATTAATAAGTCGTATTGAGCAAAAATGTACTTATCATTGTCTGATCTATGACCACAGATTTAATTACTGCCACCCACTTTGGGAGGCGAACACCTTGTAGACGTCGCAATAGTACTTATTACATGTGTCGTCCCCTTCAGGTTGTAACTCACAAATGTATTGCGACAGAAACCGTGAATAGTTAACTTGTGAAGCGAGCTAAAGACATCGGGAAGAAGACGGTAATTATACACTGCTAATCACAGTACCAAAAGTATGGATAAGTTACTAGAATATAGGTGAAATTGCAAAAAGTGTGAATGCTCTGATTTTTTTTGTTTTGACTGTTGAACGACGTCACGGCCGATTTGTTAACTGATTAATGGAGCCCATAGACATCAGCAACGTGATTACCGTTCTCCACCTTGAAAACTAAGTTTCAGTACAACAGCTACATGCATTACTGCTTCACGGCAGAAGTAGGCAGGGTGGTGGTACCTACCTCTGCAGGCTCACGAGATGCCCCTGCCACCAGTAATTATGCCAATTATATTTTTGATTTTTATTACAGGATAATATTTCTTGATCGTGGAAGTCATTCATGAACATGCGTTGAACACGTATCTCATTGTGATCTCATAATGCTCTTCATATAAATGATGATGATCTCTGTGTGGATTACGAATGTTCTTAGAGATTTTTGATAAATATAATGCAAAAAATACAACATTCCATTAACCCGGTCGAAGCCTGTCCTTAGCATGTTTAGCATTCAAGGATGCATTTATAACAGAAGAGATAATATTGAATCATATTATTCAGCGCATCCGAAGGAGACTTAACAACTCATGAGCAACTGCTTCGCGAATGAATCTACTACCGGATCGGAATCGCGACCCGCTGAGAAGATCCGGCCAGAAACTCAGCGAGCTGATTCATGGGTTAGGTTGCACGGCGAACTCTTTGTCGAGTTCGACGAGTACGGTTACCGGGGTCCCTAAGCCTGCTCCTAGTGTTAGAACTGAAGGCGTCTAATGCAAAGGTTATTGGATCTGATAGATCTATAAGGACGTGTCTAGGGAGACGATGGTGACTGACTCCTGCGTGATCAGGGTTCGGGGAGTAGTCAGCGGCGGCAACGATAAGACGAATATCATGACGATAATATGAACTGAGAATAAGGTCGTGAAATGTGAACAGACGAAAAACAGAAGACAAATAAACTTACAAGGGACATACAAATGAATTTTGAAAGACCATAAATAAGGTCGATCCTCCAAACTCGAAAGTCGACAATCTTCGTGACCCAATTTCGGTGCATCATCAAAAAGAGATGATAACAACTTAAGTGATGTTGATGGACGAAAACAGCTGGGCACTTCGTGTTCGTGAACAGTTAAAACTTTGTTTGGAACCAGAGCGATTTGTACAGTATCGTCAATGATCTCTAATTGTACGTTCAATTCCATCATGTAGTAGAAAAAAAGGTTCAATACAAGTTCACGAGTCACTTTGTCTATACTATAATATACTATCTATACTAATATTATAAAGAGGAAAGATTTGTTTGTTTGTTTGTTTCGATTAGGCTCCGAAACTACTGGACCGATTTGAAAAATTATTTTTCCATTAGAAGCCGACATTGTCCCTGATGAACATAGGCTACTTTTTTTTATTTTTTTTATTTTTTTTGTTTCATGTGTGTTTTAATGTTTCCGAAGCGAAGCGAGGGCGGTCGCTAGTAATATTATAAAAAGGAAGGATTTGTTTGTTTGTATTGAATAGGCTCCGAAACTACTGAACGGATTTGAAAAATTCTTTCACTGTTTGGAAGCTACACTATTCCCGGGTGACATAGGCTATAATCTTTTTTTTTTTTAATTAGGGATCCTTACTAAAACTCCAATAATACATTATTAGAGTTTTAGTAGAAAAAATGAAAATGTTACGTTTCATTCGAATTACTGTATTTTCATAATTATATCCTATAAGATAACCTGAGTGCTATTAATACTTTGGTACATGAGTATGGAAATTTAATTTTACATTAATTACCGTATTACCCTTCATACCTGACGTATAACTGATTGGCAGTAGAGCCAGACTGAATAGTAATAATACTCATCCGTGTCTCACACTACACGCTATCGTTACGTCAGATACACTATGTCGAATTTCAGCCATAAATTCCTCAAATCTGAAATACATCTATCTCTGTAACATGCTAACTCTATGGTGCATAAAGTTTGAATAATAAGGGTTTGTACATTGACCTTTTTTGTGGCGAAAAAACCTGCTTTTTTTTATTGCTTAGATGGGTGGACGAGCTCACAGCCCACCTGGTGTTAAGTGGTTACTGGAGCCCATGGACATCTACAACGTAAATGCGCCACCCACCTTGAGATAAAAGTTCTAAGATCTTAGTATAGTTACAACGGCTGCCCCACCCTTCAAACCGAAACGCATTACTGCTTCACGGCAGAAACAGGCAGGGTGGTGGTACCTGCCCGTGCGGACTCACAAGAGGTCCTACCACCAGTAATTACGCAAATTAGAATTATGCGGGTTTGACTTTTATTACACGATGTTAAAAACCTGCTTAATAAAAATATCTTAACTATCACGAAAAACAAATCTAAATCTCGTCTCCTAAAATGAAAATACTCTTCATTCCAATATGAGAAACTCGATCGATCACCCAGATCCGGTTTATTTAGTATATTTTATCCGGTTTAAGTCGGCTCAGATTTGTTATTGGGTCAACGAATCCCCGAAACAGTATTGTTCGATTGAAAAATTGAAAAGTTTTGATTGGGTTTCAGGTTTCGCGGTTTATTCCGATCAGAGTTGTGCAATTGTTTATTTGTGCTTTTCATTTCTCGATTACAAATAAAATCTGAATTTAAGATTGATCGTATAATGAAACTACGATTTCTACAAAAAAAAAATCAACAAGCAATTCCATGTCGGTATCGGACCTCCAAACCCAACCCTAGTATCATTTTGGTGGTCTAATATATTGTTATTATTTTTATTGCTTAGATGGGTGGACGAGCTCACAGCCCACCTGGTGTTAAGTGGTTACTGGAGCCCATAGACATCTACAACGTAAATGCGCCACCCACCTTGAGATATAAGTTCTAAGGTCTCAAGTATAGTTACAACGGCTGCCCCACCCTTCAAGCTGAAACACATTACTGCTTCACGGCAGAAATAGGTACCTACCCGCGCGGACTCACAAGAGGTCCTACCACCAGTAAAAAGTATTAAGTATTTATTGGCTTTCATACTTTTTACAACGTGTATTATTGTGTTTATCATCGCAACGTGTATTCTCATAGGTAGGTACTTAATTATAATAAACATACTCGCATTAAAATACAACTTGTTATAACAATGCTGGTACGAGGTTTTGTGAGCCCACACGAATAGGTACCACGACCGTTCAGTTTGTAGGGTGGGACAGATGTTGTACTATTAAGATGCTCAAATTAAATTTGTACAAATGTTTACGATTGACTTGCACGGTGAAGGAATAACATCGTGTCGTAATAAAAATAAAACCCGTAAAATTATAATTTTCGTAATTAATGGTGGTAGGACCTCTTGTGAGTACTACCAGCTTCGGTTTGATGAAGGGTAAGGCAGCCGCTCTAACTATACTTGAGACCTTAGAACTTATATCTCAAGGTGGGTGGCGCATTTACGTTGTAGATGTAGATGGTAGAACACCAGGTGGGCTGTGAGCTCGTCCACCCATCTAAAAAATATGTGGTGTCGTGGGACACCGGATAGGAACGAAGTTCCTTATTATAAAAATATGAATTTTAAGTTCTATTCAAGGTATAAAGAAAATAATTATTCGAGTATACATTTTTTATTATGATTTTTTTATTGATAAAAACATAAAAAATATATGTTATTTTTTGTACGTTATTACAAAGTTCAAGTCGTACACTGTGTCCATTACTAATAAAAATCTTACGTTACGAACGTTTTTTCCCGGTTAGGGTACCCCTCCGTAAGGAAGGATGGAAGGAAGGATGGAAGGAAGGAAAAAAAAGAACAAAGAAAAAAAAATTACTTCAGTCAAGGTGGGTGGCCGCATTTTAAATGTTCTACTACTCTATTACTAACTACTAACTACTCAACACCAGGTGGGCCATGATCCCGTCCACTCATTTAAGCAATATAAAAAACTGTAATTAAACTTATATCAAAATAAGAGTAACGACTTTTGAATGATTTAGGGCATTTTAATTCATTTTCACCTTCCAATTCTCTTTGGAGTTCGGCGCCATTCGACCTCCTAACTTCGGACTAATTAGCAACCAAAACCTTGTGAGCACGATTGGAGCAACGTGACCAAATTTTAAATCCATCGTGTAGGTATATTCGATGTATATTGATGTGGGTGTCGCAAAATTGGAAAGTTAAACTTATTACCTAAAACTAATTATTTTGATTCGAAATTATTTACTTCTCAGCAGAACGAAAGTATTTCTATGATATTTTGATCTTTTATCATAATTTTAAATAATTTTCCATAAATAATAATAATTTCCGTTTTATGACGTATTAAAAAAGTATTTAAAATGATACCAAGTTTTATAGGTCTACAAATACTTCAATCTTTTTTACATTATTATGGGGGGAACCTATACAAGGAAAGGAAAAAGTTTATTCAGATAAAAGATCTTAGTTATAAAGAGATGAGAATAAAACTATACTTTTTCGGAAAGTAATGACAGAAGCGACGATGAAAGGGACATGAAAGGGATCATTTAACTAATTAACGAAAACTAACCTAAATATAATATTGGATTTGGTATCATTTAAAAGACAAATTTGCTGTAAATACGTACCATAAAGAAAATGAAATTATTTGAGTGTTTCAATAAAACTTTACCCATGCTTCAACAATTTAGACTTCAACAATGCTGTAAGCCGTAAGTTTGATTTCATCTATTAAATACTGATCTAGAATCCTTATATTATCATCAGAACGAAGGTGCCATAAATTAATAGATTTTGAGTGTTCAGTTCAATCAAACCCGCAAAATTATAATTTGCGTAATTACTGGTGGTAGGACCTCTTGTGAGTCCGCGCGGGTGGGTACCACCACCCTGCCTATTTCTGCCGTGAAGCAGTAATGCGTTTCGGTTTGAAGGGTGGGGCAGCCGTTGTAACTATACTTGAGACCTTACAACTTATATCTCAAGGTGGGTGGCGCATTTACGTTCTAGATGTCTATGGGCTCCAGTAACCACTTAACACCAGGTGGGCTGTGAGCTCGTCCATCCATCTAAGCAATAAAAAAATAAAAAAAAGTTTAACGACACTGCAAGTTTTTGCCTCAAACGCTTTCAAAGGAAACTATAATGCCGAGAAATTTGAGGTTTGATTTAGTCTAAACATCGGCAATATCTACCTTCGAAGACTTGCTCTAAATAGGACTGAAGGTTTTAAAATATCCCAGTGCTCAAGTACCATTAGATGGTGAGGTAAAAGGCAAATACTCCATCCAACACTCCATCCAGTTTCACGATACTCAATAATATTTTATTCTCATATTGACTTAAATGAATTTAATGTTTGTTTGCCAATACCTTATGAAAACGTTGATATCACGATAAGTATTATTTAAGTTGATTTACATAGGTCTACCTAATCTGAACTCTGCTGTGTACTTAAACATTGGAAATCAGAATAGAAATAACGATGAGCTCAAGGTGGTAGGACCTCTTGAGAGTCCGCACGGGTAGGTACCACCATCCTGCCTATTTCTGCCGTGAAGCAGTAATGCGTTTCGGTTTGAAGGGCGAGGCAGCCGTAGTAACTATACTTGAGACCTTAGAACTGATATCTCAAGGTGGGTGGCGCATTTACGTTGTAGATGTCTATAGACTCCAGTAACCACTTAACACCAGGTGGGCTGTGTGGACGTCCACCCATCTAAGCAATAATAATAAAAAAGGTAGCTTAAGTGGCTTTTTTTGTAAGATCTTGACCTGATACATTATCCATAGTCTTAGCCGGATACCTAGTATATATAGTATCTAGTATTACTATATACCTATTATTTATTTAGAAATATTGATATTTAAATGGTAATTTGCATTATCTTTCAATGATTCTTTAGAAACTCGTTTATGAAATAAATCATTTTCATTTAATTTAATGATGTAATTTATTCATCATAGATATACTTTACCGCCTGTAGACTACGCTAATTTTGCTTTTTTTCCTTAGATGTCCGAAGCCTCAACACCTAATATGTTTCAAACAGTGGACTGCTGAAATGGTCCTCGATGTTATTACTAGCGCCATTAATTTAAAATGTAAATATCGGAACACACATCAGAAAAGAATTGTAAATATATATCTTATTGGCTGTTTATTATAATTAAGGCTTCCGTCTTTCTATTAAAACTGCATTAAAACCCAAATATTGAATAATCCCTCCTCTGTAGGTAATCGAAAAAATAGATTTGACATTTGTACGTTTAAAAATTTTGATGCGATATTTAGTGCAGATATTATTGAAGAAATTCGTTCCTAAAATTATTAACATACTCTTTATGTTTTATGAATCTACAATGGTCAGCAGCGATCTCTTGATACCTAAGTGCCGAGACATCATTGTAAATATGCCGGAAGTGTTATTTTCACTTTACAATTGAATAAATGACGATACAAGTATCTGAATATAAATACTGCTCATTAGAAACCTTTGAAAGAGATAATCGACTAAAATTTCAGCTTCGAAGAGCGTTATCTCTGTCGCACGTAGGAATAACAGTCCGATTGCACTAGATGAAAGACCGACCAATGTCAGTGTGCTTAGTGCGAGTTTTCTTTAACTTCTTGACCGCGTTAGCTTTCTCGTCGGATCTTCTAAGTGGGTCGCGTTCCCGATCCGGTGGTAGACTCTGTGAAACACGGCTCTTGCTAGGGTCAGTGTTAGCAACACTTTCAGTTTGAGCCCCGTGAGCTCACCCACACGTCAAGGCGAAGCTGAAATAGCCTCTCAAGACTGTCAGCATAGGTAGAAAAAAAAAGATCACGTAAAACTTAACTCAAAGTTGTATGGACTTGAAACAACTCCACTGCCTTTGCCGATATAGGGGCGCTGTTCCAACTCCATACAAATTTGAGTTAACTTTTTCGCGACCGAGAAGTTATAAAATTCGCACTAAGCACACTGACAGGTGGTGCGCAACACCGAAGCCGAAATTTACCGACTATCTCTTTCCAAAGACCGACGGGCAATATTTATTGTCGGGTAGGTACTGTACATTTTTCGTTGGCAGGACGCCATTGTTCAAATTGTAATTATTTAGAAATAATTGAAAGGAAATTTAATGCTTTTGTGTTTCATAAAAAAACCAGGATGTCTTGAAAAATACAAAAGTGATGATTTTGCAAGAGGTGAACGAGCCAATCTTAAATATGGCCGTATCAAAAGCTGCTACCCTACTCGGAGCTTTTGACGTCAATATTACGGATCAAGTAGTTTGGGATCATGATTATAATGGCAGGTACGAAGTGCAGAAAATTTGAAGTTAAAACTACCATAATATATTAAATAATTTTAGAACCGACCCAAACTTTGCGAGAATCTTTGCGGTCAAGTAATATGACATATTTATTGGCAGTAATTAAGAGCATAAATTGGAAAGAGCTTTTGCCAAAACCGAAAATTATTCGACTGTCGAATGTAGGCTGAAAAAAGATATTACAGTTCAGTATGAAGAGGGCATACACTGACGAAGAAACAGAATGGAAAGTTCTCGAGGCCATTTTCGTATGCCTGAGCCATTGTAGCAAGGCTTTTAATTTATTATATATTTAACCAGATTTAAAAAAAAAAAGTGCGTGCGTACAAAGTACACATGTCAGAAGTGAAACTTTTTTGGCGAACTAATTTATAAATCTTGCTTAAATTTATAAAAATCTAAAACTTTAGATTTCCGAGACTTGCAAGATTTGACTTGAAAATTTTACCCTCATGCGCCTAAAGAAGTTTCACTTCAAAAATACGGCATAAAGTTTATGACTGTCCTCATAAAACTAGGAGCAACAGTGATAGAATATATTAAGACTTTTAATAACAGAGCGCATAGGTTTCGCAATGAACGTATAGTTTACCTAAAAAATATTATATTATTTTTGTACATATTTCATATTCACTTCATTACAATTGTGATATATTCATACTCATCCTATAGCTAAAGGGGGACAATGATAGTGTCGTGTCGAATTAGTGACTGATTTTCCCATTACATTGAGAAAGCTACTAATACCTCTCGCGGACTTCAAAAAGTTCAGTGGTTTGAAAATAAATAATCTTGAACATTTCAGCATATTCTCGTTCATGTCCGATGTAATTTTCGTGTCCACCACCACACATATGTGCGTTCAGAGGTTCGCTGAGAAATCCCTAGTTCCTGTCATCTGCATGAGATCAAGGACCCACGCAAGCATACAATCTTTGGCCACTATTATGGCTATAATTGTTAGCTATGAATATATTTTTTTTCAATAGCCATTAAGCTTCGCAAAACATTGATTTAAAACTTAAAATTTCATATAGCTTGCGAGAAGTGTAGAATATTATACAATATAGCATTACTTATTTAAACTATTTACATTTCTTTATTTTCTCGATGACAGCTCTAATTTGATAGTTGTAGTGTTGTGACCAAATAAGTAATATAATAATACAATAATAAGTAATATCGATCGCATATATTTATTATGTTTTGAACAAAGACAAATACAACAAAAACATTCAAATATATTTTTTCAAGCTGGGAACACTCTGCCATTGCCGGTCCCAAGCCCGGATGAGAAAAGAGGAGGGTTGGCCGTAAACGACGAAACATGCAGGACATCTAAATAGGTCGGCCATAAAACTTATCAACGCCGAGTAATGGGCGGCGGTCAATTAACCCATCAATGTGGCCATCGGAGGCCATGAGTGACTAAATACCCTCAAAAAAACCGAGGGCAGGTACATGGGGAACACCTGCTACTATTCTCCCACCCTTTTTTAATGGAATAATGGAAAAAGAAATATGTGATTTGTCATGCGATCCGGCTAACCCCCGGCGCCATGAGGTACCCGGGCCTTATGGTGTGAAATCTGCTACCGAAGACTGTGCAGGAGTGGGTAACCAGGCTCCCGTACCAGTGAATGCTACTGGAAAACGATATATTCAACAGACCTTTCATCCTAGTCTGTTCACAAGAACTAGATGCTCGTCACTGGGAAATACTCCCCCGCTAGAAACTACCACAGCATTAGAAGACTGTAGTTCTGATACTTTTGTACCAAAACCACCAGACTGGCAAAGGATCCCTGGAATTAGAAACCAAAAGAGAAAAAGACAAAAACTACAGTCACCCTCACCAGAAAAAATCACAACTAGCAATAGATTTAGCGAATTACCACTTGATTCTAAAGAACCCACGAAGGAGCCAATGGAAAAACGACCTAGTAAGCCACCTCCTATAATATTATATGGAGTTGAAGATGTCAACAAACTCGTGGAGCTGCTGGAGTCTACAGTAGACAAAGACTGTTTTACAATAAAGATTGTCAATAGAAATCAACTGAGAGTAGTCTGCGTGGACACAGAAATATACAAAAACGTCATCACCTTAGTTCGAAAAAAAGGCCTTATAGGGCATACTTTCAACTTAAAAGACCAACGCTGCTATAGAATAGTCATCAAACACCTGCACCATACAACTCCACACAGTGCAATCAAAGAAGAAATCGAAAAGACGGGAAACAAAGTCCAAGGTGAAATTATAAACTCTAAGTTTGGACCAGACAAAAAACCAACTTCCACATTCTTTATTAATATCGAACCAGGAGCGAACAACGCCGCAGTGAAAGACATTAAATATATATACCATCAGTCAGTTATAATCGAAGATCCAAAAAAAAGAACCACGTTGCCACAATGTCAAAGGTGCCAGCAATATGGTCACTCTAAAAATTATTGCATGAGACCATACCGATGCGTGAAGTGTGGCCAAGGGCATAAAACCGCGGATTGCCCAAAGAAGGACCGCAATACACCAGCAAAATGCGCCCTTTGCCAAGGCGCACATCCGGCTAATTATAAAGGTTGTGAAGTTTACAAAGAAATTCTAAACAGACGTATGGCTAGGAATCTAACCTTCAGAACTAAAACACAAGTGACAAGCAGGACTGTCCCAATAGACTTTCGACCACAACCTCTCGAAAAAACACAAGAAAAACTTCTCTACTCGGATGTACTTAAAAAGGAAGAAACCCAGCCAACTACTACAATTAGCGTGAATAACAAATTAGAAGAATTACTCATCAAACAATCGGAGAAATTCGAATTAATCCTACAACAGATGAGCACTCTCATGAGTCTCATAGCTACTCTAGTCGAAAGAATATCAAAATGACCGCACTGAGGGTGGGTACCTGGAATATTAATGGTCTTCCTTCGAGCAAGACTGAGTTGGAACTGTTGATGAACAATAACCAGCTTGATGTTGTACTTGTCTCTGAAGCTCACTGTACAAGTAAAAGCAAAATTAGCATCAAAGGATGCCACATCTATGTGACTAATCATCCTGATGGAACTGGCCACGCGGGAACAGCCGTTGTGATAAGAAAATCAATTAAACATCAACTGCTGCCAGAATTTAGGACAAACCATATCCAAGCTACCACGGTTGCAGTCGAAACCCGCTGTGGACAATTGAATTTGTCAGCGGTATACTGCCCACCGAGACATACAATTAGCGCAACAAAGTTTACAGATTACTTCGCTACACTGGGGAGGAAATTTGTGGCTGGTGGAGACTGGAACGCCAAAAATACATATTGGGGCTCAAGGCTAACAACAACTAGAGGCAGACAACTAAAGCTAAGTCTCGAAGAAAACGGCCTCAGCACTGTCTCGTCTGGAGAACCAACTTACTGGCCTACGGATACAAATAAAAAACCAGATTTATTAGACTTCTTCATAGTAAAGGGACTCTCGAGAAATTATCTCAAGGCAGAGACTTGTCTAGACAGTAATTCTGACCACACACCTGTTCTCTTAACTATTAGTACGACGATTATTCATTATGACAAGCCTGATACCCTCTACAACAACCGCACTGATTGGGAAGGCTTCAAAGATTATATTGAAAACAATATCGAATTGAAAGTATCGTTGAAGACACCTGATGAAATAGATGAAGCAACTCAATATATTACTAACCTCATCCAAAAGGCTTGCTGGACTAATACACCCATTCCAAGGAAAAATTCTCAAGTGGTTGGAAATGTACCTCTCGAAGTAAAACACAAAATTTTAGAAAAAAGAAAGCTGCGTAGAATATGGCATCAAACTAGAAACAAAAGCGATAAGACTGCACTTAACAGAGCTATTAGAGAACTGAAAAACCTAATAGACAATGTGAATAATGCCACGCTACAAAATAATCTGGAAAACCTAACGGCCACAAAATCAACGGACCATTCACTCTGGAAATTTACAAAGGCACTGGTCAGACCACAACAATACAAATGTCCCATTAAAACTGTTTCTGGATGGACTAGGACAAGTACAGAGAAAGCGAACATGTTTGGAGAACATCTAGCCAACATCTTCAAGCCGAATGATAGCAATAATGTGGAGTTTGAAAATGCAGTTGAAAGTACACTGCAGCAAGACCTGCAACTCTCCACCCCACCAAGGCCAGTTACGATACAGGAGCTGAAAAGGACCATAATTAAATTACAAAATAAAAAAGCCCCTGGATTCGACCTCATCACCAAAGAAATTGTCACAGAGCTTCCCAAAAAGGCATTGGTCTTCCTGGTTACTCTCTTCAATAGTGTGCTTAGAGTGCAACATTTTCCCAGATTATGGAAAGTATCCATAGTGACAATGGTTCACAAGCCTGGAAAGCCCCCGGAAGAACCCACATCATACAGACCCATAAGCCTGTTGCCTGTGCTGTCCAAGATGTTTGAGAGGATTCTCTTGAGTAGAATATTACCCATACTCAATGAAAACAAAATTGTACCCAGACATCAATTCGGTTTTCGACAACAGCACTCTACCATAGAACAAGTGCATAGGGTCTGTGAAAAAATTCGATCATCCCTTGAAAACAAAGAATACTGCTCTGCCGTGTTTCTGGACATCCAGGCTGCGTTCGATAAGGTGTGGCATAAAGGCCTACTATACAAAATAAAGGCATTCTTACCCCATAGTTACTATCCACTGATGAAATCATACCTGATAGATAGAATTTTCCAGGTGAGAGAAGACGGAGAGCTATCAAATATTCACGATATAATGGCGGGAGTCCCACAGGGTACTGTTCTGGGACCCGTCTTGTACACCATATATACTGCTGACCTTCCTGAAACACAAGGCGTTACCACAGCTACATTTGCGGACGACACAGCACTACTTGCAAGCAGCACGGACCCAGCTGTTGCCTCTGCTACCTTGCAGAACAACCTTGACAAAGTGACTGAATGGCTCCAGAAATGGCGAATAAAGGCTAATACTACAAAATCCGTCCACATAACATTTACGCTTAGGAAAGGAAGCTGCGCATCGGTAAAAATGTGCGATATCACCCTGCCACAATGTGATACAGTCAGATACCTCGGTATGCACCTGGACAAAAGACTGACATGGAAAAAACACATCCAATCAAAACGAGATGAGCTAAACATGCGGTTCAAAAACATTTACTGGCTGATGGCACGTAACTCGAAGCTTTCCACTGACAATAAGCTCCTAATCTACAAAATGATCCTGAAGCCAATATGGACGTATGGATTGCAACTGTGGGGAAGTGCATGCGACTCCAGTTTAAATATCATGCAAAGAATGCAGAATGGCATCTTAAGAACCATAGCAAACGTACCATGGTTTGTGACAAACACTGAGATCCATGAAGCCATGAACATGAGAACTGTTAAGGAAGAGATAAGGTTGACAGGGACTAAGTACAGAACTCGGCTGGAAAACCACCCAAATACCCTAGCTAATGAGTTGACAAAAGTCAGTTACATTAAACGACTGAAACGTCATGATATACAGGGAGTTGGTGACAGATAGTGATTAATGAGGAGTCTCCTGGTGAGGAGCCTCTTCGACGCGATGGCACACGCAACGGATCTGCTCATAGTCCAGGACTGATCGCAGATAGGAAAAAAAAAAAAAAAAAAAAAAAAAAAAAAAAAAAAAAAAAAAAAAAAAAAAAAAAAAAAAAAAAAAAAAAAAAAAAAAAAAAAAAAAAAAAAAAAAAAAAAAAAAAAAAAAAAAAAAAAAAAAAAAAGCTGGGAACACTCAATGGCCCGCCGCCATTTTGTATTTGTTTTAATCTTTTATAGCAAACTAAATATTCGTACGTACGTTCGAAAATAATAAAATATACGCATGATTTAGGGATAATTAAGATATAATTAATGTAGGCAAAAGCTCGACATTGTTCGACATTAAATTTCGTTCATTCAATAAACAGACAACGAGAAAATTTACATAATTTGTTAAATTATAGGAAGAATTTGGCAGTATGAGATGCGTCAACGTGTCATATATGGGACCACCCCATCCCATACTCAACTCCTACTTACTACTTTGTCCAATGCTGGGAGCAAACTTCAAGTTTAAATGTTGCTGTGAGGTGAACACAATTTATGATTAAAATATTTGGTAAAAAAGTAGCGTCTCTTTTGAATACTGTTAACACTGTCAAATACGAACTATATATTGAATCCTAACATATCAATATATACACTAACCTACGCTTTTATTAACACTCCTAATTGCTTGTTTTTTTATTTTTTTTTTATTGCTTAGATAGGTGAACGAGCTCACAGCCCACCTGGTGTTGTAGTTACTGGAGCCCATAGACATCTTCAACGTAAATGCGCCACCCACCTTGAGATATAAGTTCTACTAAGGTCTCAAATATAGTTACAACGGCTGCCCCACCCTTCAAACCGAAACGCATTACTGCTTCACGGCAGAAATAGGCCGGGTGGTGGTACCTACCCGCGCGGACTCACAAGAGGTCCTATCACCAGTAAGATTACTTGTGTCAAAGTTTGATCAAAAGCAAATGATGTAAGTACGGATGATCGTTTATCAAGTCAATTTATCGTCTTATATCAAGGTGCCTTTCCATTGATGACTTTAAGATCATCAATAAAAATTGACAATGACATGATTGAAATAGACGTCTACTTCGACGTAATTAATAGATACATTTAATTTATTCGTGCAGAAATGTCCAGTGAGCCCGCTCCTTTACAAAAGCAGCGAAGAGTTGACAGCTCAGTCGGCAACGGAAGTAAAGCAGTGCAGCGATAAAAACGATGTTTTGAAAAATACGTGCGTCGTCATCGCTGGTCCAACCACAAAGCATAGGGATAAAATTGAACTATTTAAATTTTCGATTGAAGTAAGTTTATCTTGTAGTATTTTTTATTCCGTCGCATGTATATTTTATGACGGTTATTAGTTTGGTAGCCAAACGAAACGCAGCACGATTCCCGAGAGATGGCAGCACGATTGAGGTATCGTCGGAACTCGGCTAACTTCGTGCTACGACCGAACCTAGCCGATGGAGGCGCGTAGACGCTTCGCTAGAAATAAATAATAGTGTTCTGTGCGTAGACGCCATCCACAGTTGCCAGATGGGGGGGGTTCCCTGCAAATTCGGGGGGGTTTTCGACCTTGGGGGGGAAATTCGGGGGGAAAGATCCTTTGGGGGAACATTCGGGGGGAAAAGCTAGTTAGAAATTTCGGAGGTTTTTTAAGTATCAATAATTCATCCACAAACACAGTTCGCAATTACTATTAGAATAATTATAGTCTACTATACTATTCACAAGTCAATATTTTATAGGACAAATTATGCAACCAAATGGCAATAAAAACTGCCGAAGCGGTTCTCAGGATTCGATTTTCACTGCCAAATAGAGCCATAAATTTTGTTCCCACATCGGACATGTTAAATATCTTTAACTTCGAAAAAGTGTAAGCTTTAAATAATAATAACGAAAGTGAATATGATTGTAATAATTGTTTAGAGATGGTTGAAGTTATAGGGACAGCTTGATTAAAAAATAAAAGAATCCTTTTGGTTTTTTATATCTTCTTTAAAATAAGTAAAGACTGTTTTGGGGGTTTTTTTCTTCAAAAAGCCTATTTTCGGGGGGTTTTTGAAAAAAGTTGGGGGAAATTCACACGGTCATCTGGCAACACTGACGCCATCACACTTATCAACCAGCCTTCTCGAAGAGCAGTGCCTCCTAAGAACTGTGATTCGTTTTCGTTTGCTAAGCTCGATCGCCCTATTCGCCTCTATGATGTCTGACGATGGTGTTCATAATTGTGACTTCTCCGACATAACTATATACTTACGACCCACCTCGTGGTTCACGATGCCCAAGGACAACAACAAACAAAGGAGCACACCGAACCCATTGTTTTGCGCTCACACCTCCAAAGTCCTTTGAACTGTTTTATTTAGCAATCGAAAATCGTTAATAAGGCTGAGACCGATATATTAGTATTCATTATGATATTCGTAATACAGCTTGTATTCGTGTAGGTATCGGTAATCCGTCGAATTCTGATATGCTAATATTCCGTATTCACTTTATTCATAATACTTAGCTAACTCACATCGGTCGGGTTGTATCTATCACTCGAAAATATACTGGCATACGCCGTACGTGTCTCGCGGATATGAGATAAACTACATGTTTATATACTGAGCAATGAAAATAAGTACATATCGTTATGAGTTTAAGGACTATTTTGTATTGCACTTTTTACATGTCAAAGATGCTAGTGAGAATTTTTTAAATACATTACAAAATTCTACATTTCGTGTGTGGCGGTCGGTACCCATCATAATAATATACAAGTTCCGAACAACAAAATTCGGACCGTCGGTCTACCAATAGCAATATCACCCGCTCGTTGGAAGATCTTCCCTTTGTCGTGTACCTATCTCTATACGTTTTTTTTATTTTTCAGGATATACAAAGAAATACGTGCTGTAGCTGGTTGTTCTTCCACACGTGTCCACGTGGCGAGGAGGTCGACGACAAGCTATTCTGTCATTTAAATTCTAGAACTTTCAACGCGATTGAGAACATGCATTACATTGCGGCCGCATTGATGGCTAATGCAGTAAAAGGATACAAATTTTAGAGTTACCGATTATTTAGAGCAATGGATAGTTTACAAATTTTATACTAGACTAGCGGACCTAACAGACTGTCCTGTGAATGCATACACAAAAATTAATTCAAGTCAATCCAGCCGTTTAGTTGCATTATAGATAAATAACTAGATACCGACTGCAGCGCCATCTGCCAGACTGATTCTATAGTCTATACCATTCAGGGCGCTAGCCAAATGCATACAAAAAAATCATTCAAATGGGTCCAGCCGTTTGGTTCAGTGACATACACACGTACAGTAGAATTATAAATCTCTCTTCTTTTTTTCCACCTTATCCCACTAGGTGGGATCGGCACAGCTAATTTTTCTCTTCCATTCTCTTCTATCAGCAATCATCTCAACACTCACTCCTCTCTCTCACATATCGTCGTTCACACACTCCATCCATGTCTTATTCGGTCGACTTCTTCCCCCTCTACCTTGCACTACCATTTCCATATATCTCCTAGTCACATGCATCTTCTCTATACACATCACATGTCCATACCGTACCGTAAAACCGCAGTAGAATTATATATATGAAGATAAATATTAAATGAAGTTACCCGAAGTTATCAGTCACGACACATAAACATGTGACATGTCTTCAGTATTTCTGTATTAGTGAAATGTCTGAATTTGTTACGTAAAAATAATAAAACCTTAAATGAAAACGATTATAATTTGTTTAATTCAACAGTTACAAAGTTTATTTAAATCCTTTCTTCATTTTGCATGTATTCACATTGGCAATGCTTACACTCCATTATTTTAAATGTTTTATTGGTTAATATTGATTTACCACTTATACATTAACATATCTTAACAATTAATTAAACACAGACTGTGTACATTAGAATTGCTTGAGTATTACCACCTGCAAGACTTCCACTTTTTCATTATCAATTTGCATTGAGACATTAGAAAAGGAATTTCAATTGCGAAATTTATTATAGACCAAGCGATAGACTAGGCACCATCTGAAACTACCCAAAAATAATGAACAAATATCTTAACTATAATTTAAACTACTAAACTTATCACAAACATTGATGCATGTTCTGAACACTCTATAATACATTATATCTTTGTTTTATTTAAAAAAAAGAAGAATATTTAACCAACAGTTTTATTTTGTGGTACACTCATCTGTGTGTAAATCCAGAGAAACAATTTCAAGTTCCTTTTAATATAAAACAGTGAATTATCATGTGTCATGAGTGTGTTATCAGACACGTCATAGAGACTAGAAGCACGTAGACCCTATGCTTGCAATCAATTGATAACAGGCTGTCCATGGACAACTACAATTACTTTCCTACGATCTGCATAACTAGAAAACAAATCACACAGACATGTTATTGAATGGCCTATTAATTTTATTTAATCAGTTTGATTCTTATATTTTCCTCTCATGAATTTCGGTAATGGCACAACACCAGAGCAGGGCACCTGCCCGAAAACTTCACACATGCACGATCTATCACATCCAACACCAAAATTTGCAGGGTTATCCTTTTTCTCAGCCTTTAATAATTCCAAATCTAATGTTTCTTTTGATTTCCCTGAAAATAAATTTATTGTTTTAAAATAATAAAATTTATCACAGTTAATGTTATAAGCATGGAAATGAACAAAAGACATTGATATATCAACTGTTATTTAACCAGGGCCTATGATAATAAATTTACTTGTAAAATACATGTTGGATGCTCGTATACTGAAGAATTTGATTTTATACCTGGTAGAATCTCTTGTAAGCCATGTGGGTAGGTACCACCACCCTACCTGTTTCTGCCGTGATGCAGTAATGCGTTTCAGTTTGAAGGGTGGGGCAGCCGCTGTACCTATACTTGAGACCTTAGAAGTTATATCTCAAGGTGGGTGGCGCATTTACACCGTAGATATCTATGGTCTCCAGTAACCACTTAACACCAGGTGGGCTGTGAGCTCGTCACCCAACAAAGCAGTAAAAAAAAACTTATACATACTGGCTGTCTGTTTTTGCAGAATGCTGTATTGCATTTTGACTTCGAGAACTAACAGCTTTAGTATGATATCACATTGTTTCTGGTAGAATTCATGATCTTTATGTGATTGAGGGACCCCTTAACATCTAATGAGACATGGTTGTGTTCTTCAAGTGCGATTAAAAGATATCAAGAATCAGGCAAATAATATACGTTTTTTTGTTTATATTATCTTCAGTTATCACTCACCTACAGTATGTAGTAAATGTTCTAAGATATCTTCTTTCGATTTATTGTCTACGTCAATTAAAATTTTTCTTCCATCGTCAAGATAGCATTTTATGAAAGGGGAGGGCGTTAAATTTTTTAAAGTTACTATTTGTACGTCTGGATTTTTGTACTGTATTTGCGGTAGATACCAAAAGCAGAACTCTTTTGTTCCTACATTATTTTGGCCTGTTATGTTGTAGGCTACTGAAAATATCTTAATTTTGTCTTTCAGGACTAGCTTCCCGGCATTTAAGTAATTCAATGTGCGTCTTATTGGCGCTCTTCCTTTCATGAACGGCATTTTGAATGTTTATTGAAATAACGGGTAAAACAAAAGTTATTTTGGTTTCACAATCTGGGAGAGGTTACCTACGAATATAACCTTAAAATTTGACAGTAGTAGTCCTTTTTTTCTAACTGGAACGGCAAAAGTATCATACCATACAGCTTAATATTTTATATTCATTTTTATGAAAAATGAAAGTGCGAAAAATGCAGTTGATTAATTTGAGACATTAACTATTTGGCATGAAATTAAATGAGATGAGATAATATGGGATGAAATATAATCGCAGTAAAATGGTGGTTACCTATTTACTGAGACTTTTTCAGTGGATTTTTTATAAAATCCCGAGAAGCTACGTCCAGCGGATTTGTTTAATTTTCCCACATTGTTGCACTTTCACTGATATTAAACAATAAACCACTTTATTACACAGTTAATCCTGAAGAGACACTAAATAGAAAAAATAAAACAATTCGCGTTCCCGCCAGAAAGTCCCTAAAATTTGACAATTTTTTTTTTTGCTTCATTCGTCAAAGTAGAAAAACAGAAAGAACTTATCCCATACAACCTATCTTCTACAGCAAATTTAATGATTCATTCAGTGGCGAAATAATAAGCACACCTCAGTGCTGAGTACTCCTAAATAAACAGAATTTAAGTATTAAAAATTGGTGTGACGACGATTCATGTTTTTTGTTTGGTTTGTTTGCGTTTGCCTTTTAAGTTTGTTGGTGCCTTAGATACGGGGTTTTATACAAAGGATATATCAAGCCTAAAACTGTAGATAGTGTTCCATTAGAATTTAGATTAATCGATTGGAGGAAAAAAAATGTTCCCTTAAAAACAGTTTTGGAATACATAAAGATTATTTGAAAATAGGGGACAAATGTTCTGCCAGCCGTATTAAATGTTTATATACCATAGTAATAAGACTGGGCCTACATCAAAAGATGAGAATTTGTGTATTTATTACTTTGATTGGTGGACGAGCAACATAAAAAAAAGGTATATACCGCTGCCTACCTTGAGACATGAGTACCCTAGCACCAATCAATACCACCAGAAAATAAAGGTAATAATACTGGTCCTATGAATTGAGTGCGCACACTGAATACATTTTTCTCTGCCAAATAGACTGTCCCTGATATCACCTTCATTATGTAAGCCCTTTTTGGAAGGTGACAATCAAAAATAATCTGTATCTTCTAGGTCGAGGTTACGTAATTGAAAGCTTAAATCTCTTATATTTCACAAAGATTTATGTATTGGTTTTGCAATATTGAAAATTAGTTAGGTATGTTCGCCGTAAGGTTCAAACTTGTAGAAGTTTTTAAGCCATATACACTTTGAAATATGGTTCCATTTTTTTGGCAAGATTTTTTTTTATTTTGTCATGACTTAAAATAAAAAAAAATCATATTACTCTCAATTTTCACTTTTATACAATCAACCCCTATTTTTCCATCTCGATTTTTACTTTTTATAATCTATACTATGCGGATATACTATGCGGATCTGCCGCAATAAGGTTGCAAGATGGCAATCAAATATTATAATTGTAGTATGATAAATTCTTATTTCTTCTTATCAGATATTAAACACCAAACTGCCGTTAATTTTACGGGATCGTTGGTAAAGAAGTAATGTTAATTGTTTTATTAGTCTTCTTTCCTATTCGTACACTCTTGACAGAGTGGTCGTGGTCATGCATCAGTCGGATCCTGCGATACCGATGCTCTCGCGATGCGACGCCAGGTGGCACGATGTTTCGCAGAGTGAGAGCAAACATTTATGTTGGAGAATGTTTATTAGTCTAACTTAGTCGAAATGGGTAGTTTCACACAAAAACTAATTTATTAAGATAGATATTGATAAATGCGTTCATCTTATTTTAAACAATGAATATGACAAAATTTATAATGACAAAGTTTATAATTAACAAATAAAAAATAGGGGTTGATCATAGAGGGATGAAAATTTGAGAGTAACATCAGATTTTTTATTTAAATTCATGACAAAATAAAAACAAAAATGATAATCTTGCCAAAAAAAATAAAGTTTATGATTAACAAATAAAAAATAGGGGTTGATTGTAGAAGGGTGAAAAATTCAGAGTAATATGAAATTTTTTATTCTAAATCATGACAAAATAAAAACAAAACTCATGCAAAAAAAAATAAAGTTTTTAATTAACAAATAAAAGATAAGGGTTGATCGTAGAGGAGTGAAAATTTAGGGTTGTGTGTATTTTTGTATGCTGTATCATAAAAAAATAAAAACAAAAAATTATATTTAAAAAATGAAAAATAAAATTTAGGGATGGACCCTTAACATTTAGGGGGATGAAAAATAGATGTTGTCCGATTCTCTATCCTGGCCGATATGCACGCTAAGATTCACGAAAATTGGTTGAGCCGTTTCGGAGGAGTTCAATCACGCACACCGTGACACGAGAATTTTATATATTAGATATTTGAAACCGATTCTTCAGAAGAATGTCATACAAAAGCATAAATTATAGACCTAAATTTTAATTTAGTCTTTGACTTATCTGAAAATGACTTTTGATGAAAATTCTCAGAATTAAACATGTCTAAATTTTTATGTACATAATTTACAAAATGCCAACCAAACGAAAGTAAATTTAATGTTTGAAATGAAAATAAAATGAACAGAACATGTAATAGTAAAGTCAAAAATCCTTGCAAGATTTGCATGCAGACAGTTTGCAATAAAAATGGCCTGCAGTGCCAAGGTGTTTGCAAAAGATGGGCTCATTACGCCTGCTTGAAATACACTCCTGGAAAAATTCAGGATATCAAAGCTGGCTTAATAAAAATTATCTGTCCATGTCCCGATTGTGCTTCGGTCGAGCCGAAAGCCAAAGAAAAAGCTCAATGCAAAACGAAAAAAAGTTCAGAAAAGCATTCTAAGGGCTCTGTTGATCGTTCAACAAAGAAACAAAGGCCAATACCTCCGGTGCCAGTTCCGCAGTCACCATGTTGCTCTTCCGAATCTGCAGAATCACTCCATAACATACCGTGCGGCCCAAATCCACCTTGTGTGAGTCCAAAACAGACTCAGAATGAGCCGAAATGTCCACCGCCGTCTTTCAAGAAGCCTTCCGTGAAGCATAGCTGTGGGCCAGATAATCAATGTGTGACCAGGGGATCAAATGCAAAAGTTCAACAGAATGAGGCCAAAACTAAAAATAGGAACGTTTGTCAGGAGTTGTCTCCCATTCCTTCTTCATCATCGGGCTCACTGCCATCGTTTTCGGCACAAATGTCTAGATCCTGTTCTTGTCTATCACACGAGCCAAGTAAGTACAGTAAAGTGTATTCGTAATTTTATACATTTTGCATATTGTGAAACTTGTGAACACTTTGGAAGGATCATTTCATTTTTTTTATACTTGTACAATTTTGTTCTATGGCTTCAGTAAATTGTTTAGAAGAAAAAAAAAAGGTTTTTTGGGATGTTTTGTTTTCAACATGTAAGATAGGTTGTTATGACCCATGGTGTGGATTAAATTAATAGGCCCATGCATATAGACTAGAGAGTTGTATAGGTATATGTACCTTGGAGATCCAAATTCCTCTGTCAACTTAGTTAAAAATGTATTTATAAGCCTCGCAACACATTGATAGTTGAGAACTTCTTGTCTAATGGAATATTGTACATACAGCCTATGTATAACGGATGTGCTACGGACTCTTTAGTAGAGTTAAATTTTTTTTGGCGTACCGGATTTAAATCAGAGTACATTGGTCCATACATGAATAACCACAATGTTTTGTAGAGTAGTGTATCGTTTAAATAGTATCGCAATATCCATCGGTTCATACTTTAGCCAACAGTACTTTAAAACAATTTTTATATAATAATAGGTTTAAATTAATTCTATGATATTGTACCTATAGGTGTGTACTAAACCTTTTTTTTCCTACCTATGCTAATAGCCTTATGAGACTATATCAGCGTTGCCCTAGCGTGTAGGTGAGCTCTCGGGGCTCAAACCGGAGATGTTGCTAACACTAACCCTAGCAAGAGCAGTGCTTCGTAGAATCTACCACCGGATCGGAAACGCGACCCACTGAGAAGATCCGGCGAGACTCAGCGGGCTGTGTCTATGGGTTAATTTACTCGCCGAGTCCATCGTCGCGAGCGACGGGTTTGACGAGGACGGTGACCGGTGCTTGAGGTACCTAAAAGCAACGTTACTGGATCGGGAGGATCCGTAATGACGTGCTTAGGGCGACGTCGACTGTTTACCATTCGGTCCACAGGATCGGGTATGAGCACTGAAACTTGAGCTTGTTGACAACTTTACTTACCTCTGCTCCAACATTAACAATACCGGATCCAGCGAACCTGAAATACGACGGCGTATCGGAACGGCAAAGGGAGCCATGGCCTAGCTTCGTAAAATCTGGGAAGACCGTAACATTAGCCAGAAAACGAAGATAAAACTGATGTTCACTCTAATATTTTCCATTTTTCTATACGGAGCGGAGGCCTGGTCCTTAAAGCAGCTGATCGCAAATGCATGGTTGCTTTTAAAATGTAGTGCTGGAGGAGACCTAGGACAGCAAAGAGAACCAATGTGTCTATTTTAGAACGACGGAAGATCAAGACAAGACTGTCCACACTCTGACTTCGCCGCGCACTCGAGTACTTCGGTCGTATTGCTCGGAAAACACCTGATTACTTAGAGAGACTATTCGTGACAGAAAAAATCGAGGGAAAGTGACGACGTGGGCGCAGCCTGATAAGGTGGTTCGATTAAATTCGCACCACACTAAAAACCCCATTCCACGAATCCTTTCACGCGGCCAAGGAAAGGAAACGCTGAAAAGAGATTACAAAAAAAACTTCAGAGGTGTCAAGGGACACCCGGATGGAACAAAGTTCCTTTCGATTAATTAGTGAAAGAATTGTAATTTTTTTTTTAAGTTATAATAATAAATTACGGCATTATGAAGAAGAAAAAAACAATACTATGAACTAAATTATTATTGTTGAAACGCTATCTCGAGAAACTGTACTCATTACGCGGACCAATCGGATACGAGCAATGTCACGCGATAAGCGCCTACACGTTGATTGGTCAGAATGACGGATCTAAAAAGTGTCGTGACAACTTTTCGTAAGATTTTTTTCCGTCTAGCCCCCTTTCACAACGCGCGATAAGGAACTTCGTTCCAAAAATAAAATCCTGTTCAAAATCATTGTCACGATCCTCAGCAGTGAAGAAATTACGCAAGGAGGAGGATGACATTGTAATATTTATTGTTATTTTATTTAAATATTTACCTATTGCTGTATATTCTTACAGTGCAATGTCGCGATGTGCAATGTAACGTATTTATTCTATTGTATGTATGTAATTTATTCTAACCGTTATTGCAACGGCTGTAACATTTAAAATATTCAAATAGATTCCTTTTTAATACGCTTTTATTAGCATCAGACGTATGTATGTTAGTATGTAACGGAATCTTTGAACAAGATTTTGACCCCCTTCAAAACGTCGGGTTAACTCGAAATTTGGCATACTTATTAAGGACCGATGACAATTCAATATTTAAAAAGATATTGAAAGAATTGAAATACAACTAAAAAATTAAAAATATTATTTATAATAGTTTAAAAAAACTAACAAAATACGCTTTTATAAAAAATCCAACTAAACTAATTATTTACATAGCGTGTAAGCGGACGCTTTTTTACAATAAATCATTTTTTCGTACACTATTTTTAATTCAAATTTATTAAAATTTATTGTCTAATTTTTAGTTGGATTTTCTATAAAAGCGTATTTTTTTTGTTTTTTTAAACTATTATATATTCGTTTTGATCCACTTACACGCTATGTGAATCATTAAATAGAAAAACCAATGGTACATACAGACAAAGAGATCTGTTGAACAAACTCGACCACCAATTAAACTGTTTTTTTTCTTTTCTTTCAGATCAGAAACCAAATGCCGTGAAGTCAGTATCTGATTCGAATATCCCTTCAAACAACTGTCAACTCTTCGATGCTTTAGAGGAAATGTGTAAAACTGTCGGACAACTATCAGTTCAACTAAGGGACCTCATGTGTCAAATGATTGACTCAATACAGAAAAAGAATAATAAAGCTTTAGTTATGTAAAAGTTGTTTTTTATTCGAGAAAATCTGGTTACACTTCGCTGTGACTAATAGGTACTAGCTGTGTGATAAATATCGATATTGAAAAGCACTCACTCCGTCGTATATTTGTTGTTCTGCAACAAAAGCTTCCCTTGAATGCCAACAACAGCTGTAACAACCTTTATCACAATCAATAAATGAATAGCATAAGAACGCATCGGCAATAAACACGCTAAAAAATTTTTTTACACGATTTTATAAATTTTATAATCATTGAACGACATTATCACCGATTCAAGACATCTGATGAACTTGAAAATTTTGCATCAAGGACTCATGACCACTTTAAATTTTATTATGTTTTAATATATTAAATAGTAGCATTTTTTGTCGTAAATTAATCGCTTCAACACTTGAAATCCCATCATAATTGGTTGACCCATTGTGAATACGTATTATCTGGTGGATAATATGCTCATTAATATACAGTAATATGCTCTGGAAATGTCGTGTTAGAGACGAATGCTTGGAGTTTCTTGGACCGAGTTTTGTACAAATGTCTCGATACATCAAGTTCTTTTTTATATTTTTTATTGCTTAGATGGGTGGACGAGCTCACAGCCCACCTGGTGTTAAGTGGCTACTGGAGCCCATAGACATCTACAACGGAAATACGCCACCCACCTTGAGATATAAGTTCTAAGGTCTCAAGTAAAGTTACAACGGCTGCCCCACCATACAAACCAAAACGCATTACTGCTTCACGGCAGAAATAGGCAGGGTGGTGGTACCTGCCCGTGCGGACTCACAAGAGGTCCTACCACCTCCTCTGGGACGTTTGCCATCTACCTTGCCTGTCCAGCCCCAGCCTATTTCTGCCGTGAAGCAGTAATGTCTTTCTGTTTGAAGGGTGGGGCAGCCGTTGTAACTATACTGAGACCTTAGAACTGATATCTCACGGTTGGTGGCGCATTTACGTTGTAGATGTCTATGGGCTCCAGTAACCACTTAACACCAGGTGGGCTGTGAGCTTGTCCACCCATCTAAGCAATAAAAAAATAAAAAAAGATGATCGGACCAAATACGATTTTCTCTGTACATCAACTTCCACAATGCCCTTCATGAAGGTAAGGATCGCAGCAGATGGAGGGAAATCTTACGAGAGAAACTGATGCAGCGGGGGAGTCATGATCCTCCGTAATGAGGAAAACGACGCGAGGAGGAGAATGGCCTCGAGCAGGAATCTCTCCCTGGTGGGACATCCTGAGACGCATCAAGTCTGCCCCCTCCAAGACGACATGACCACATTGTCAAGAGTGACACGATTGAGAAGAATTATAAAAAACAATAATTTTCGTATTTTTATGTATGATTCACGTGTAATGTCAAGTTAAGATAGCCGTTGAATGGTCGTTTCGTTTTTTTTCGTCTATTTTATCTACTTAATATTATGAGAACGCTCAATTCGTTCCTTGTCGTCTGGTTCGTGTCCGTCTTCTAGGAAGACATTGAAAGTACTGCCTGCCGCTAGTCACGTCCGCCCTCGTTCCATTCCTCTCTTTGTTTCTTTTCAAATTCTTGTCAAGTCTCTGTCTTAGTCTATGTCTAGTCGTTGTAGGTCTTATGTCCTGTCAAAGAGGTTGCTCGCCACGACAGCCGTCTTGCTGATTTTGAACTATAATATTTTTTAGGTCACGGTAGGTATTTTGAGTTATGATGTTTTTCTTTATAGTATTGATAGGGAAATATCCGACAAACATTCAACATCACGGACCAAATATACGAACAAGAATATAATCACGCAAATTTTAAAGTATTAAAAAGTCGGATGTTGTAAATTTAAAATATGAAAATCACTAGAATAAACTATAAAAATCAAACAACGTGTGGCGTTTATGAACGCACATTTTTATGATGCGTAAGCCGGAACGCACGAGATGTGGGAAAAAGAATATAGTCTGTGACACGGGACCTTTTTAGCGCCAAATATTTAAAACGTAAAAAATAATTTATAATGTGTATAATAACTAATTTATTATAATTACTTAGAATTGTTTATGCCGCTACAACAATAAAATTTATACTGTTTTGACTGTGGTGCTAATTACATAAAACACGACTTTACAGCGAAATAAAGAAGAGACTCTATATGCACTCCCTCAAACGCTTACATAGATGATGTCTTGAGTTGACGTCAGTTTGATCGCAAGAATTTTTAGCTATTAGCAAAGCTAGATTTACCTTTGTCGTGTCGGTGAGCTTAAGTTTATAATCTAGTTTACGGCTCACAGCGAATAGTCTAGACTGATCGTTGACGTGTGAAATTGAATGTACCACGTATTTATTCATGATTCTGGAAGGGTATTCTGTTTAATACAAAATACAACGGAAATTTTAAGGCTTTCGTTAGTGATAGCATTGAAAAATCATTGATATGATAATAGCTTATTTAGTTATTTAATCATAAGACTAGAATATAGAAATTTACCTTCTCGTGTCGTTTACAGAGAGATAACATCCCCAGATAATCCATCCTAATCTTATCTAAGTATACATATTTTATGTCACTTTTTAAGTAATAACCTCACCTAACATATTGAACCTAATACCTTAGATTCCTGGGTTGGTAATTTTGTTACGCCTGTTTCAAACAAGTTATGTAGATCAGATTTGAGTGGTGGAACAAGAAGTTATTCTAATGCAATTGAGTTTGACAACATGATTCAAACTAATCTACACGTTGTATTTCTTAATTTACGTAACCATTTATTTACTGGTGGTAGCACCTTTTGTGAGTCCGCGCGTATAGGTACCACCACTCCGCCTATTTCTGCCATGAAGCAGTAATGCGTTTCGGTTAGAAGGATGGGACAGCCGTTGTAACTATAGTTGAGACCTTAGAACTTATATCTCAAGATGGGTGACGCATTTACGTCGTGGATGTCTATGGGCTCCAGTAACCACTTAACACCAGGTGGGCTGTGAGCTCGTTCACCCACCTGAGCAATAAATAAATAAAACCCGTGTGAAGCATGGCATATTCAGTCTATTAGTCAAATAACATAAATAATCGGTCCGAGATGTGAAAGACAGTATAAACATATTATCTTTACCAATATTCGTAAGTCTTGCGTTTTACGTTTTAATTCTTGGTAATTAATTGAGCGATAAACTCGGTATACTATATCGAGTGATTCCTCTATGCGTCCATTTAAATTCTGAAGCCAGGTGCCAAATTTTATACTATTGCACACTTTGAATTTGAACCAGAATAAGGCCACGTAAGATCCAAAACACGTGGCATTGTGTAACTCTGATTGCCAATCAAACTACTGCAAAAGTTTCTGCGGTTCACAGATACAGTATGTAGGTACTATTGATTACAAAAATCGTTATTAAATTCAAAATTTGATAGCGTAAAATGAAATGTTAGGAAAATTATACGTTTCTCAACATCAAAATCGCATCAGGTTTTTTTTTTAATTACCCTTCTGTTCGGATTTGTGTCTATTTTTTAAATAAGTATATTTTTCTGGTTAAATTACTTAAATATTGTAGAATGGTCACATGTAACTTAACGTTTTTTTTTTTTATTGCTTAGATGGATGGACGAGCTCACGCCCATCTGATGTTAAGTGGTTACTGGAGCCCATAGACATCTACAACGTGAACGCGCCACCCACCTTGAGATATAAGTTCTGAGGTCTCAGTATAGTTACAACGGCTACCCCACCCTTCGAACCGAAACGCATTACTGCTTCACGGCTCCCAAGAGGTCCTGCCACCCGTGAGAAATTAGAGAGAACCAGTGTTAAATGAAACACGTTTTTCTTTTTTTCTTTTGTCTTTCTTCGGTCTTTGTTAATGTTGCCAATTAATCTATGGGCCACGTCACTAAACACCATAATGGCCGTGAGTTCGCTTATCCTCTCCACAGTGTCATGTCAAATCTCATTAACTAAATCTAAAAAAATTGATTCTGACCTAAAATAGAAAACAAAAATGTATTAATGGGTTATAATGTCACAAATTGTCGTTAGGCCATTATATTTAGTCGAATAACACTTTCTTTTGTTAGAATAAGGTAGGTGAATCAACCTACTGTGTTTCTCGCCGGATCTTCTCAGTAGATCGAGATTCGGATCCGATAGTAGATTCAGCGAAGCACTGCTCGTGCTAAAGCTAGTGTTAGCAATTCTCTCAGGTTGAGCCCGTGAGTTCACCTACTGGTCCGTGTGAAGTTGGAATAGCCCCTTAGGCTACCAAGGATTATCGGATAAAAAAAGTGGGTAGTGTCTATGGGTCAGATCACAAGTCAAACTCTTCTTCGAAAAAAATATCCCCTTAGCCTATCAACGATTAAGTAGAGAAAAAAGTTTCTCGTCGGATCTTCTCAGTAGGTCGAGATTAGGATCCGATAGTAGATTCAGCGAAGCACTGCTCGTGCTAGGGCTAGTGTCAGCAATTCTCTCAGGTTGAGCCCGTGAGCTCACCTACTGGTCCGTGTGAAGTTGGAATAGCCCCTTAGGCTACCAAGGATTATCGGATAAAAAAGTGGGTGATGTCTATGGGTCAGATCACAAGTCAAACTCTTCTTCGAAAAAAATATCCCCTTAGCCTACCAACGATTAAGTAGAGAAAAAGGTGGGTGAATTGCAAGTGAAGAATAATGGATTGAAGACTATTATAGTTCAAGTTTATTCTCTGCATGTATTCTGTACCCACGTGATTGAAACAAGCCAATCACTGCTGCAGCTCTGCCTTTTTGATCTGATAGCACGTTCAATTACCTTAATAATTAAAAAGATTCAATTCAACTACAGATAATATATAATACAGATCATGAGAACTATTCACAAAGCCTTGAGGCGAGCGTTCTTTGATGATAACTTTGTTAGAAAAAGGATTAAATGATTAGACTTGTATTTTTGTACGGCCATAATCAAGATAATTTTTGTTTTGGAGATCCGTCGTTAAACTCAAGCGATATTCAATTTTTGAATGCGAACTTCAAATAGAAT